AAGGAATTGTTGCGTGCTATTGAAAGGGCGTTTGTAGCTTTCGACAAATATTCATTTGATAAAGTTCACGGCAACTTTGTTCGACCTCATTAGGACACTGCATGCAGGCGTGATGGGCACCGCTTACAAAAGACAAGATATAGCATCGCCAATAAGCCGAGGTATTATTTTTGATGTCACAGCACGCATGAACAAAAATAGAGAATTCAAAGGTACACACTTAAATTTCCCTGAACTCAACTAATAATGATGGCTCAAGATAGACGGTGCCGAAGATGTGCTTTACAAATAAACCTTATTATTATAAAGCAGCGCTGTGGGGTCTAAAAATACTCTTACAAAGAAACCTCTGAAGGCCTACATTTATTTACCTGTATTGCAGGCAAAAAGAGGACCTTTTATCTTAATTTACAAGATAATACGCGGCCTTGAGCCGGATTACGCTTTGAGGACATGCTTAAGTGGCGCCTCTATCTTCATTTACGTGGACACGCAATGAAGCTACGCACGAAAAGGTCTAATATTAATCTGCGTTTGGAATTTTTTACGCAACGGAGTATATGTTAATGGAATAACCTCCTGCAATCATTCATTTGGGTGACGTCCCTACAGCTCTTCAGGGAAGGCTAAGATAAGTATACGTGTCACTCCATTCCCCTCCATTGTCAGAACTCTTACTAGTCCCACACAAATTAATTGTAATTGTAAAAAATGCTACTCACATTTTGTGAATACTATTTTAAATATGAAAATTTTTGACACAACGACATGCAAACAACGGGAGTTTCGAAGGCTTTGCCTATTTATCCCACTAAATAAACTGAAAACATATCTCGAGGGCATACGTTTGAAGGGATATCGCGTGAAACTACATGTGCCCCAAGGACGATGGTGTGTAAGGAAGTATTTTTTTCCAACCGGGCCGTGGAAGAGGGAGTAATCCACGACGATTGCATGTTCCAATGTGTGGAGACACGCAAATACCGACTGGATATCCATACACTGCAGCGCAAATTTGGCTGTGACTAAGTTACATTAAGACACCGTTAAAAAATTTGACCTTGCCTACAGTAGCCTGATTGTAATTTCTTAAAAAATTTTCTTATTCTTGAGACTTTATGCGAAAAATAATGATTTCAAAGGCATAAGCTGATTTTCCTCAAATACGCTGACGCTGACTGACTAACTTCAGATCAGCAGTTGCGATCACTGAGTGGAGTAAGCAGAAGTGAACAGGAAGATAAATTTTTGTGCATAAAATGCTTCTTAACCACAGTAAAACGAGTGTTAATCTAAAATAACACGTTGCACATCATAGGGGTAATAGAACAGCTATCTCACCAGAAAATGCCCGTAAAGGTAAAACAGACCCTTTGGAGAGAACTGTAGCGGAAAAGTCTCTACAAACAATTGCAGCGTCTAAGTAAAAATACAGTGGAATACATTCTAGTGTAGAGCTAACTGCTAGTGACTAATCTACCAGACCACACTAATGA